ATTGCCCAAACCCAAACCCAAACCCAAACCCAAACCCAAACCCAAACCCAAACCCAAACCCAAACCCAAACCCAAACCCAAACCCAAACCCAAACCCAAACCCAAACCCAAACCCAAACCCAAACCCAAACCCAAACCCAAACCCAAACCCAAACCCAAACCCAAACCCAAACCCAAACCCAAACCCAAACCCAAACCCAAACCCAAACCCAAACCCAAACCCAAACCCAAACCCAAACCCAAACCCAAACCCAAACCCAAACCCAAACCCAAACCCAAACCCAAACCCAAACCCAAACCCAAACCCAAACCCAAACCCAAACCCAAACCCAAACCCAAACCCAAACCCAAACCCAAACCCAAACCCAAACCCAAACCCAAACCCAAACCCAAACCCAAACCCAAACCCAAACCCAAACCCAAACCCAAACCCAAACCCAAACCCAAACCCAAACCCAAACCCAAACCCAAACCCAAACCCAAACCCAAACCCAAACCCAAACCCAAACCCAAACCCAAACCCAAACCCAAACCCAAACCCAAACCCAAACCCAAACCCAAACCCAAACCCAAACCCAAACCCAAACCCAAACCCAAACCCAAACCCAAACCCAAACCCAAACCCAAACCCAAACCCAAACCCAAACCCAAACCCAAACCCAAACCCAAACCCAAACCCAAACCCAAACCCAAACCCAAACCCAAACCCAAACCCAAACCCAAACCCAAACCCAAACCCAAACCCAAACCCAAACCCAAACCCAAACCCAAACCCAAACCCAAACCCAAACCCAAACCCAAACCCAAACCCAAACCCAAACCCAAACCCAAAAACCCAAACCCAAACCCAAACCCAAACCCAAACCCAAACCCAAACCCAAACCCAAACCCAAACCCAAACCCAAACCCAAACCCAAACCCAAACCCAAACCCAATTTTAAAGATAGATTCACTTGTTTGTTGGAATAAAAGTTTGTGACAATAATAAAAATAAAAACACACAGTAAAGCCCTTGTTCATGAAATTTCAAAATCGATTGAATGCAATCAACCAAAAAATGCCGGCGCAAAATCACCTCCCAGTGGAGGCACTTTGTTGCATCTTCTCTATTCCATCATCGTCGTCATCATCGTACATTCAACATTCAATCAAAATTGCAAGCCAACATCTCTGCATCTTCATATTTTAAGTTCATAAATGACATGCAGCACATGTGACATTTCACACAAAATTCCCAAGTAGAAACTGGATCATCTTCGATCGCCAAACAGACCACTGGTTGGTATAGCACGTTTTCCACAAACCTCCACACACCTTCCAATCCCGATGATCCGAGTGGAAATGAGATTTTCGAATGGTCATCACACTTCTCTTTGGTTATGATCTAGAAGAAGAAGATGTTTCCAAGGCAGAGGAGTATTTACAACGAGCCGCTGATAAGGGAATTATAGAAGCACAATCCTTGGTAACTATTCCATGGAGAAGCCTGACGAGGAAAAAGGGAGAAAATTATTGCTACAGATTGCGAATGAAAATCAATGGAAATATGAACCTGTGGAAAATCGTGATTTGGACAATGAAAATTACCTTTCGTATGTGGGCGTTATTTACAATATTGGAGCTCTCTATGCAGCTCATGACCATAATTATGAGAAGGCCTTGGAATGGTTTTTGAAAGCGGCTGAACATGGTCATGCTCTTGCAGAATTCAATATTGGAGGTCTGTATTTCAATGGAATGGGTGTTGAAAAAGATGACGAAGTATCATTGGAATGGTATCGAAGATCTGCTTCAGGAGGATATCCTAAATCGCAATTCTATGTTGGTAAAATGTTATTGAACAAGGCCAATGGCTTGCCTGTGACCACCGTACCCTCTCACAAAGTACAGCTTGTGACAGAAGCCATTCAAAATCTAGAAATGGCTGCACTACAAGGTGTACAAGACGCTCAACTGTATCTTGCTCATCTTTACATGCAAGGTCAGTTAGTGAAGCAAGACATGAAACAAGCCATTGCCTTGCTAACTCAGTTGGCAAAAAAGGGAAATGTCACTGCACAATCGAATTTAGGAGCCTTTTACATGTCCGGTGTCAAAGATGTTCTTCCGAAAGATCGAGCTATAGGAGCTCAATGGCTCTCCAAAGCTGCTGCTTATGGGGACGTAAGTGCCCAATACAATTTGGGAGTCTATCATTACGAATGTAAGGAATACGAAAAATCAATGAATTGGTACATGAAAGCTGCCAATCAAGGATATTTCCATGCGGAACGATGTATGGGTCTTCTCTATTTGAAAGGAGAAGGTACAACACAAGATTATCCAAAAGCAATGGATTATCTGAAAAAAGCTACATCAAAAGGGGATTCTTTTGCCATGAAGATCCTTGCCGTCATGTATCGTGATGGATTGGGAGTGGAGAAGGATTTGAATGTTGCCGAGCAATGGAGGCCAATGGCCCATCAATATGAAAAGAAATAATCGAACGACGAAAGGAGAGTAGTTGGAGTGAAGAATTCTAGGGATGAGATTAAAAGAATGCTTGTCTTTGAGGGTTTACAGAGGTTAAGCGAGCGTTAAATGATTGATTGTTTTGCCCTGTTGTCGACAAGCTAAAAGTGAATGCATCAATTGAACTTTTTGGGCATTAAATCTTGATCATATCTTCTTACTATGCGATCTTACTTTGCCTCTATTATGAACACAGTTGCCTCAAAAAGTTCGTTCCTTTTAGTTTTATTATTCCTTTGTTTTTTCCTTAATTTCACTTTGTTGATCCTTGTTGATACTGGAGCTTTTCCAAGAATTGTTGTTCAATCCTTTTCCACTATTATTCGTTTCATTACCAAGAAACTTTGCAGTTGTGTCTTTCTCGGTGTACAAAGTTTCCTCATAAAGTTCGTCGTCAAATCCAAAAAATAAATTTGGATCTCCATCCAAAGGTTTTCCCATATGATGACTTGGAATATCAGAGTCATCTTCTTCCACAGTTGTGGATCCAACCACATACGAACCAGGAGTGTAGGATCCAATTGGATTTTTGTTTGCCATCTTTTCTGTTGTATTTAAATTAGGAATTGGATTTGGATTGTCAAAGAAGGAACTTTCTTTTTCCTTTTCTTTTCGAACAGCACTTGGAGATTTGTCGTATGATGAAACAGATGCAACAGAAGGGTTATTCTTTAGAAATTCTTGTTGATCCTTTTCGAAAGCTGTTGTTGAAGCATTCTTCTCATTCTTGTCAGAGGCTGCCTCTCCAATGACTTGCCGATTTGAGAGTGAGGACCTGAATAAGGCTGCGCGAGTATTTGTGTTTGGGTGGAAGCACCACGTGCTGCCACTTGAATGGCAGAGTTGTTGAAGTCGAGAGGGGAGAACTCTCTTCATGATGAAAGTTTTTTATTTCTGCATGTGTGTCGTTTGGGTCTCAATGGTTGTCGGATCATGTCTGGAATGTGGATGGTGGATCAGAATGGAGAAAATCTAAATAGGTTTTTTCTCATGACAAGAGATGGGCACGAGAGTGTACTGTTAATTCCAAAACTTGAGTTTTTCCAAATTAGGAATTTTAAAATAGATGAAATCCAAATTCATGAACCCTTCCTGAGTTCCTCATAACATTATAATCTATGCCAACACAATTTCAGTACTAGTAATTCGAGATCCAGGACATTTGAGAGCTCTTTTTCTTTCCACACACAAACTCACTTGAGGGATTGTATTTTTTCTATCGACCATGATATAACGAGAAATCTTTGACACCACACGAGAATTGGGGTATTTTAGAATGACCGTGACCATGATGCATCCTCTTTTCAAATCCTTTCTCAGCCACCCAAATACAAATTCGAACAGCTGTGCATAACTTGTCAACAATTTTGGCAGCGAGGGCCAACTTGGCTAAATGGTTGTTCTCTGTGGCTGCAGGTTTGTTGAGGCCTTCGAACAACGATGCAACATATATTGAAATGCCAACCAAATTTAGCCTTATTCTTAAGAATTGAAAATCTTAATATTTATTTAATAAATAGACTCCTTTTTCAGCTCGAACATTTGTTAGTGTCGCCTTTTGATACAAACATTGTGGAAATTAGCGTTTTTTGATGTTGAAAAAATCACCAAAGAACTTCCTTCGGGTACAACATTTATGTTTCACTCCGATGAATGGAATACACATTCTGAGTTGGAATTCAAAGTTGAAGGGCTTTCAAAAAAACGTTCACTCTCTGAAACAGAGCAAGAAGAATATGAGCAATCAAAACGAAAAGTTTCTAACTTCAAGTTGGTACCATTAAAGGACAATCAAGAATTTCTTTCATTGATTGAAAAAAAATTGGAGGAGAGGGATGTTAAGTGGAAGCAAGAGTTGGAGGAGAGGGACATTAAGTGGAAGAATAGAGAGCAAGAGTTAAAGCAAGAGTTGCAAGAATTGGAGGAGAGGGAGAAAGAGTGGAAGCAAGAGTTGAGGAATAAGGATAAAGAGTGGAGGCAAGAATAGGAGGAGAGGGATATTAAGAGGGAGCAAGAATCGAAGAAATGGGAGCAAGAATGGAAGCAAGAGCTGGCTGAGTTGAAAAAAAAGCTGATCAAAATAGCCATACGTTTTCCAAACGATTATGCTACTCTAGACAATAGAGGTTTTTCAAGTCTGCCATGAAAAGTAAAGATGAATTGTCTCTCTTCGCATTGTTTTTTGTGACTTCTCGCCCATTAGCACGCCCACCTATTTGCTTTCTTAAGCTTAACATTTTCGCTGGTGTTGGTCGTGAACACTCTAACTTTGAAAGTGTAGGACATATTCCTCGCAACACAATAACATGTTGGCTCAATATTTATTATTCATGATCAACACCTTCTTCATCATCCTCTTCATGTTCCATAGAAGCTTCTCCTCCATGAGCAAGTATTGAACTAGCACCAACCATCATGGCATCTTCATCTTCCTCAGTAGCAGCTCCAGCTTCATGGGATTCACCAAGTTCTTGTTGCTTTCTCTTCTTTGGAGGTCTTCCTCTACCTCTCTTTTGTCCAGAGAGAATCATTTCACCATTCAAATATTTGAGAATACTGTTACAGAGATCATTCTTTTTCACACCGACATATTTAATGCCTTTCGATTGAGCAAAGGCAATTAATTCTTGAACTAAATACTTGTCTCTTAGATCTTCAAAGGTAATTCCTTTTTCAATTTGAGGTCTCTCCCCCTCAGTGTTAATGACTCTCTTTCGTCCTCTCTTTTTGTAACTCTTAGCATTTGGAGAACTCAAATCTCCATCATAGGATGATCCAATTGGAGAGCTAAAGGATGGTGAAGGACTTGCATATTCATCATCTGAAGGAATATCCGCTGTTGATTTCTTTGATTTGGAACTAGATTCAAAGAAATGAGGTTTCTTCTTTTTCAGTCTCACCATTAAATCTTCAGCTACATGAGGATATTCATCAACAAGAATAACCTCTGAGAGCATTTCCTTAGTTGGAGAAGCATCAAATACTTGTTTCTTTTGATCGTATTGTGAAGCTTCTGCTGCTTCTTTGAGAACACTCTTTTTACATTTGCATAAAACTTCCTTAGCGCCATAGAGAAATATTTCTTCGAGAATGGCATCCACCAAGTTCGAATGTGTTGTGTCAAATTCTTCAATTTCCAATGCCTGTAAAAAGAGTATGAGTGTGGAATCTTGAAGATTATCAAGTAAGGTCTCTGCATTCAGTTTTTCGAAAAGTAATTTAAAGTTTGCTCTCAAACCAGATTTTTTCAATGTATGAACAGTTTTAGCTGTGAGAGTATAATCAGGATCAATCTCCTTATGAGAAGCTTTCTCCAACTCACGAACTGCTCCATCATAATGAAGTAAATCCTTCAATGCAGTTCTCATATCTTCTCGATCGAGTTCTGTTAAGAAATGTTTCACACTAACATTCACAGCCTTCTTTCCAAGTTCAAAAATTAAAAACTCTTTTCGATGTTCATCAGTGATGGTTTTTCCTCTCTTCAAGACAGGATCTGTATTGGTCAGATTATTCTTAGCTGCAATGTGTTGAATGGTTTTGAGAAGCATTCGTTGTAAGGTCAATGTAAAGTTCCTGACAATATCCTTTGGGAAGTACTCGTATTCATATTTGAGTGTCTCAGTATCATAATCCGATTTGAGAGTATTCACCACTAAATACAAATCATCACCTTCATTCGATGATGCTGCTGCAGATATGAGTGGTTGTTGAGAAGAAACAGCATGACCAATTTGATTTCCAAGTTGCATGGCAGCTTCTTCCTCTTCTTCAGAAGACAGAAATGAAACTGTTCCTCTCGAAGAATGGTTGTTGAGTGAAGGTTGACAAGTGGCATTTAACGTTGAAGAAGCAGTTGGAGCACTTCCAATCAAGTAATCCAATTCATCTACCATGGTGTTAAGATCTTCAGGTTTAATCATAGAAGTAACACCAGACGTGGTGGCAGCATTTGTGTTTTGAATATTTCCAATTTGGGAATTATCCTGAGTAGTGGAAGTGTTTGCTGACATGTTACCAATAAAAGAAGAACCAGGAGATGTCGAATTATGGTTGATCGGTGATGGTTGTTGATGTTGTTTAGTTTCTCCCTTAAATTTGTGCTTCTTTGGAAGATCTTGATAAATGACTTGATTGGATGGTTGTGTTGTTGTTTCTTCGGGAGTCATAGGAGTTCTCTTCGAGAGGAGGGAAATTCACTCTTCTTCGGTGATGGAGATGGAATTTTCTAAACTTCGCAAAAGTTTCAACATGTTGTGAACAAGAGAATGTGGATCAAGAGAAATCACAAAGCAAAGGATGGTGATCAAATGGAGACGATCGTTCCACGCACTAACTTACCCGTTCTTTCTTGTGTCAAGTGAGATGTGAAATTCTTATCCAACTAATTTTCATGATCAAAAGTATTTGGGAACAATAAAGAATGATCCAAACATCATCATTCGAAACAAAGAGAGATTTTATAACGACAATTTATAAAAATAATAATTTTAATCATCAACGAATAATTATTTTTCGAAATTTATTTCGATCGAAAATATGAATACTTACATTATGAACACCACAACACTAATTTGTATTTGAATACAACTTTCGATGATTTTGGTGATAATGATTCTAACGATGATTAGCCTTTTGAACCCGAATAAGCTTTCACCACACAATTTGTAAAAATATTTTTTTAAAAAAATTTGCATTTCATTTCGTTCAAAATTAAATTTCAAGACAAGCCTTGTATTATCGAAATAATTTATTGAAAATTGTTCTCTGGAGCCGAGATGGAATTTCGACCTGGAATGGTCTTGTTGACCATTGGTGTGATGTGCTCGATCGCATCTCTCATTTTGATGACATTAACCGGAGTGTTTTTCGGAATAGCTTTCAAGTACGTTTGTTTCAAAAAAGATCATTATCATTCCATTCTTAAATTCATCAACAACAACAATTTTAATACTAAAACAACACTCTTTTTGGTGGCATACCTTTGGATGTCTTTATCTTTTCAAATGATTTCATTAATATCATCATTTCATTGTGGCGCCACAATGATCTCGAATCGGACTTTCAGTTCCGACGCCGAAAGTTACTCGGTGCCAGTCAACTGCACAGTCATGTCACCTCTCGTCCAATGTGAACAATCGTATGGGAAAAGGCGAAACAAGTATTGTTCAGCCATCGTTTGTTTAAAACACAACAAGGATCACAACAGCACTATTGCAAGTCCATCGAGTTCCCACAGCATGTCCCCTTCCTCCGACACTCCTCACACACCATTCGAATTCGATCAAACCACGAGAAATTACCTGCCCTCAACCGAACATTCGAACCACTTTTCGATTCGAAGATTCCACCATTTATTTTACTTTTTCGGAAGGTTTCACAACGACTTGTTTTGAAAATCCAAAAGATCGAATTTGGGTCTCGTATGAAATTTATACACCTGCTTCTTCGCACTGGAAAATTATTGGAATTATTAGTGCTATTGGAAGTTTGATTTGTGGAGTGTGTGCGGTCGTGATGTTTTATCGATTTTATAAAGATCGAAAAAACTTAATGGCGTCATCGGAAGAATTTGAGCATTCGGAGGAGAGGAGAAGAAGAAATGACCATTCATTGCATCAATATGATGGTCATCATGAATTGCAAGATGAATAGACAAAGGTATGTGATCTGGGTTGATCATTTGTGGTGTGGGTGAGTTTGTTAGATTCTGCTCGAAATGGTGTGAATAAAAACTGCATGGGCTTCATAAAATGCCAAATGTCAAGATTTTTTTATTTCACAACTTTAAAAAAATCTAATTAGTTTATTGTTGGCATCACTGGTGCACAACTTTAAAAAAATGTCTCAAACACCTCGAAACATGTCTGCCTCTTTTCGGACCAACCCCTCTCACCGAAAAATCGAGAACACTCCGATTGAATTCTATCACACTCTCGACATGGTCAATACTTTTTGTATTCAAACCATCAATTTATTAAATAATTTTTCACTCCAATGTGAACGAAAACTCAACGCAGCACAACATGATTTGGTTCGAATCGAAATCACACTCTCACTACTCGAAAGTAAATTAAAATCTATTGATGGAATGGAAGCCAAAATGAAAGAATTTGAAAATTCTGTGAATTCTCCGACAACAACGACAACAGCAGCTGGACCCATCCATGATCCTTCGTTCGGAGCATCATCTTCCGGTTATGTTCCACCTCCACCTCCATCATCGACAGGAAACATTCCTCCACCTCCACCAGGATTTGGTTCTTCAACTTCATCAGGAGTGATTCCGCCACCACCTCCAATGACAGCAACTGGAATGGTGATACCACCTCTGCCTGTCACTACAGGTGTCGCAAGCACTTCTGATCATTCGAATACGGTATTGCCATCCGTTCGAGGTGGTATCGAGTCTGGAGACACATCTACTGCTTCGAATATCCCAACATGCGAACAAGACCCTCGTCTTGCTCGATATTTCCGATTGTTATATAAGGTCGGAGTACCAAGAGTGCAATTGGAACGAGACATGATCCGAGATGGTTTTGATCCGAACGTTTTGGACACACCACAAGCACCATCTCCGTTGGGGCCATACAAGGAAGAGAATTCAGAGGAAGAAGGAGGAGATGCTGCAGCATCTAGCGAAGAAGAGGAGGAATAGTGACACCAGTAGTTGTGCAAAACGAACAATAAACAATGATCTTCTTTATTGTGACAACCATTTGCATAGTGACCAAGAGCATGACAGTACTGCTGATTAAATCAATTATTTAATAATTTACAAGGTAGAGGAGTGAGGGGAGCAACGTTGGAGAGTTAGAGGAGAAGCTGAGAAGCTACTGAGTTTAGTGAGATGATGTTGTTGTGATGACCACAGCAAGCCAAGCAACCACATTAAAAACAGCAAACCATAAAAATTGACCATTTTGTGTCTTAACATCATGATGATCTTGATCCTGGATCATTGCGTTGGGAGCGTGAGAATGCATGTTATTTCTTTTTGAATAATGATCAATTTTCTCTCCATACAACAGTGTCAGGTTCACCCTTCAAAAAAGTTGTCACTCTTCAACTGCAAGAAAAGGATTTGAACTTGAATTGGAACACTTGTTGACATGGTTCTGTGAATGAGAAGTCTGTAAGTTGATGTTAAGCCTCAAAACAAGAGAAAATGTTCCAATATCGAAATGTGATTTTAATGAGACCCGAGTCTTGGTAAAAATACTAAATCTGGGACAGCGGTCTCAATTCATGGGCAAGTCAACCACACTATTCTTTCCTTTCTTCATCTTCTGCTTCAGAAACATCGTATTCAGAAGGCTCTACTGATAAATGATACTTGCTCAAATTGGTGTTTTCTTCTTGATTCACTTCTGCAAGTTCAAATCCAAGTAATTTGTTGGCATTGAAAGCTTCAGCTTGAGGATCTGGATTCTGATGATACTTTTGAGACAGTAAATAAGTGGTTTGAAGTCCCTTGCCCTTGACTTTGGAAAGTTCAGTCATTTCATTGAACAACCAGTTGTAAAAACCTTTTCACACAACTTACCTTCGACCTCTCTTGGTTCGAATTCATACAAATCATAAACGCGTTCGTAGGTTTGGCGAGAAATTTGAATTCTTCCACCAATACCAGTAGATTCCATGCGTGACGCTGTGTTCACCGTGTCTAATGTTGAGATAAGTGACATAACATTATAAATTTCATATTTGAAATCTTTACTTACCACCCCACAAGTCATAACTAAATTTTGATGAACCTAGAACACCAGCAGTAACACTAAGTTCCATGTAAAAACATTAACATCAAAAATTTCCTAATAATGAGAGAACATACCTTCCTGTGTGAATACCAACACGAATATTTAGATTGGCATTTCGTTTCACATTGTAATTGTAAAGAATAGAGAACTGGCCACACGCAAAAAGTAAGACTTTTTCGGGGTGATCGGTCTCTTTGTTGTGCAAACCACCTTTGTTTGTGAATTAATTATAGTGAGTTAGAATGTATGATTTGTATACTAACCTGCTAAGAAATAAGCATCACCGATTGTTTTAATCTTTTCCAAAGCAAGTCTCTCACATAAAAGGTCAAATTGATTAACAATAATATTAAGCATTTCAACGACTTGATGTGGCTCTAATTTGCTGCTCATGCTTGTAAATCCGACAATGTCTGAAAATAAACACGTGACATCCTAATTTACATCAATTTCAATGAATATAAATATATATATATATACAAAGTCTAGACAAATGTTTTCATCATTTCCAATACTCACCTTAATATTTTCATAAATGTTCTTTTCTCCGGCTTTGAGGCGATTCGCAACAGGAAGTGGTAAAATGTTCAACAATAAAGCTTCCGATTTAGCTTTCTCTTGATCAATTAGTATTGCATGTTTCAACTCATTTGTAATATCTTTCAAAAAACAACTAATGATTAATTTCTTTGTTTTTTCATTGTCTCCATCAATAACGCTCACGCAAAAATTAGCTCTCACGGGGAAGGACTTTCCATTTTTCCTACGTGCCTTAAGTTTCTCAAACGTCTCTCCGAAATTACTTGTTGCCTTCTTCATTCTCTCAATAGTGGCTTCTATTTTTTCAATGACTTGTTTCTTTGAAAAAAGGGCCGAAATTTTAGTTCCCACCACCTTAAATATTGAATAAATGAAATTTCAAAAAAAATTATTAAATTAAAAAAAATTGCAACCTGTTAATTACTGACATACCTCGGATGGCCTGTAACCGAACATTTCTTGAGCTGCTTTCGAGAAAAACTTAATAGATCCATCGATATTGCAAATAATTGATCCCTCCACAGTACTATCCAGGACAGCTTTAACTTGTGCGAACGCTTGCTCATCATCATTATCAGAAACAGGGGAAATTAAAGATAATAGTCTACCAAATCTACCTTTCTTAGAAGATGTCTTTTTAGACACAAATTGGAAGTGAAGAGCATATTCTCTGAGCTGATCAGAGTTGTCCAATGTTTCCCAGCTCACATAACACATCAACGTTCTCAATTGTTGAATCTGACTCCAATACTTTTGAAATTGGTTGTTAGTGAAATAGGTGAGGACCAGCAATGTAATGAATCCAAAGGATGCAAATATGCCTGTTAGCGTTCGTGATGGTGTTTGATGCAAAGCAACATATGCATCAATAAAGGCATAGAGTTTGTAGGCCATAATTTTGCTTGCGTTATAAAACTGCATGAATCTTTCAAAGAGTGTAAGGGGGTCATACAATCGATGATAGGCCTGATTGTTCATTTGGTCAGCTTGTGAAGATAATAGGTCTAGCAGCTGATCGAGCCCTAAGCAGGAATAATCGGTCGCAGAACAATTCTTTTTGGGTATCACAGAATCCATGCCTTCAGAAAGAATGGAACGATAATTATTAAAGTTGGCTCCATAAATCAAATTATTCCACGAATCAATAGAGTGTGCTAAATAGACCTTATTGCTCAAGAAATACAGTTCATTTTCTCCTGGTGTCATATTTTGATCAAAAACAAGCTCATCCAAACCAAAGTTAACGACCTGGCTATGCATTAACACCCGTGTGGCTTCAGCCACATTCAACATGGAGATATAGGAATCATCTAAGTTCAAAAAGAATTCAGTCATAATCAAGGAGGATGATAAGAAGTAGCACAACATTAATGCTAATATCGAGAGTAATATCATTCTCATAGGTGTAAAATTTGTACTGTCAATCTTTTGAATGTTGTCTTTGGTGCTTGTATCGAGATGATGAAATATGGCACCCACTTGATCCTTATCAATATGTTTAAATAATCTTACAACCTTAAAAGTGTTGCGAAGATGAATATTGATTGCCACCAAAAATATAGCGCTTGTCAGAAGCATTATTGCATTAATACACACAGCTAGTATAATGTAAATCATTCGTCTTTCCATTGCCACAATTTGATTTCTATCAATAAAATTAATACAAAATTTTTCATAGGCGTCCTTTAAGGGCTCTCGATTCAACCAGAAAAAGAGGAATACATAGGAATCACGTGTCATATTATACTGTTGAATAGTTGATCCGAGTAATGTGTCAATATTTGTGATTAATAGCTTGGTTGTCTCAGACAAAGAAGTGTTTTGGAGCTCATATTCGAGTGTTGGATTTTTGGAGATGATAGGCATTCTCAAAGAGACAGAATCCGTTGTAAAATCATGTTTCATCTCGGTCGTAAATATTCCAACGGATTTGGATAACTGTTGAACTGTCTTAGCCTTGTCTTGCAAAACAATTAACCTGTCCTTGTGGGCTTTAAAAGATACCATCAATCCAGTATCATTTATACCTTTGTATTTGATTGTAGATTGTAAAGAACGGATACCGGAAGCAATTAAATGACTGACTGAGTTCATTGTACAAGCTGGCTCCATAATATGAATATAAATAATTGTCATTTCTACAGACCAATTCCGAAACTGTACATACCTTGGTTCACAAGAAACACTTTGGAGGAAATCTCGTTCGAGAATGTAATATTAATCACTAGCCCAACAATGAGCATACTAATGCATAGAGCAACGAATAGTAAAAAGGATACGTATACTGGTTTGTGATCTTCTCTTGATAACAAGGCACTATAAACGGAAACATATCAAAACACAAGGTCGTCAATACCAATGATAAATAAATTCTTACCTTCTGAAAAGTATTTCCTTCTTTTGGGATGATGGGATCACATCAGAGGACCCTCCAAAACTATCTGCATCAAGCTCTTCATCAAAAAGATCTTCTCTTTCAACTTTTTTTTTCATCTGTTTGTGTGATTGTTGGAAATGGCAGTATTCTGTTTGACTTCAATGTGGGCCTTCTTGACTGTACGGCCACTTTTTTTAGATTCCTCTTCCTCGATCAAACAGGCTTCATTGAACAACTCTGCAGCACTTTCCTTTTGAAAGAGAAAATTTTCCAAAAATTGAGCATAGGCTAAGTAAAAAAAACAAAATACAATCAGCCATCACGAAAATTGTATCTAAAACATACCTCTAATTGCAGATTTATCACTTCCAAAATTTATCATGAGAGTACTAAACAACACTTCACATTCAACTGTTATTAATTCTATTTGCTGATTAATGGAGATTAGTTTGGATTCTGAAACTATTTCATTCATCAATTCTTTCCAAAAGAGTTTGTGTAAATGTTTCAATTTTTGTTGCTTATTTTCCAACTTTTGAAGAATTGTTTTCATTTCTAAAGTTCCCTTCTTTTTACTTCCTTGTGTGGATCGAATCTCCATCTCCTTAATTCTCAAATGAATAAAATATCTCTTCATAAATGTTGGGTGCAATTTCAATGCTCTATTCAATAAAGTTGAAGCAAATATTGAAGCATTTGCATCATCTTGAACAAAGTTTGATATTAAAGTTGCTGCAGATACAAACAAATCAATGTCGTGAAAAGATTTTTGAGAAATTGCCCCTTTCACAAAAGATAAAGCCAAATTGAAATCTGGATGCTTGTAAATCAATTTTCCAAGAGGAGCTACAAATCTCAAAAATAGATTGACATTTCTGTATTTGCTCTCTTCATCAATTAATTGGCAAAGAGAAGAAATCAAGATTGTTTCTGGTGCTTGTTTCCATCCATTCGTGTTGTCATCTGTTACTAGATAGAGAGTAATTAAATCTCGAACCGAGTTGTAGACACGTCTTGTATAGACTTCCATAATTAAAAACCCAAACAAAATAACACCAGCGCAAAAATAAAGGATGCACTTGCAATAGAAACTCCGAGAACATTTGCATTCTCTGGCGTCATTTCAATTCCAATCGTAGTCAATAGTAGAGTAGCAATAGAAAATGCAATCCGTGCAAATCCAAAACCTGCCCAAATTGAATTTTCCCACCTCGTAAAGCAAGGAACACTATAAAACAAGTAGACGATAAATATAATTGAAATGAGTATGGATAAGCATGGTAATACATAGCTGTACTGATAGGGAATTAATTGCACAGCAATCCAATAAATTTGGTTTGTAAATACTAGATACATGATGAGTATTGGATTGGAAATGTTAGAAAATGTATCTGACAAAGGGCTCAAATCAACAAAAATAATACCCCAAATTGAGTTATTATTAATTGGAGTATGAGAGTTAGAGAAGACAGAACGATGAGCACATAATTAGTGATACTTTGGCAACTCTCATTCTTAAATCGTATCAAAGTCATGGTATTAAAATCACAATTAATAAATGAGGTAAGAATGTGGGTTGAGGGAATATGAATGACCATGAAAAAGACAAATAGAACACTTATGATTGCTTGTAGTGTTTTGGTATACCGAGAGCCGTTTTTGGAGAATCTATAGAGAACATAAAACATAATTGATCCAGTAGCAATAAGAAGCAACAGAGCTCCACTGATGACAATAATGCCCACATATGGAACCATTTCCATGAGCCATGATCGACAGAATCCAAATACCTGCGATGCATTGCCGATTGAGTGTAGATATAGCGTGTGGAGTGTTGACAGAATTCATGTCAAAAAGTCGAACAAATTTACAACAACAATCGAGAGATTTATCTCAGGACTGAGAGGTACGAGAATATAACAACTTACCATCATGATATAAACTCCCCAATCTCCCCAGTGATAGCTACGATGATCTTCATAAGGCACTGCTAGACTCAACGTGGATATCATGAGATACAAGTAAAACAAAGCATAGCCTACATTGTTCCAGGTGAGGAATCTTGAAAATACGCTAGAGAGTTTCTTTTT